AGGAGGAGAAAGAGGCGACCCAGGAGAGGACACTGCGCGCCCCGCTGGCCTTGGGTCCCCATCTGTGGTGGTGGGGGGGGGCACAGGCCCCCGCACACAGACAAAGCCTTAGCCCTGCCTCGCTCCGCGCTCTGTGCTCCCGCGGCCCTTCCTCAGGGGGCTGATTGAGATCCAACCAACAACTGCGAAGCTCCCGTCACCAGCACTGACATGTGCTTTTATAAAAACAGCGCGAGTGCATCCTTAAGAGAGCTACAGTGTGGTTGGTGTTGTCGACACTGAGTGGTAAGGGAACCCAGAGGAAGGGGCAAGGTCACGCGGAGGGCACCTGGGCCCGGCTCTGTCCCACGCGCTGCTGTGCGCCCCGCGCGCCATGCCGCGGGCTGGCAGGAGGGCCTGCGCCCTCTGTGCGTTCTGGAGGCACTAGAAGAAATCTGCCGTGGATTTGCTCCCCCGGGGCAGCGGGCAGTGTGCTGGTGCCGGGTCCTCTCAGCCACAGGGTAGGTTCATCTCGAGGCAAATGAATATGGAGGCTTCTCCTGCTTCCTCCCAGGCCACATCCTTTAGAAACTGCCATCATTGAGGTGTTCCCGTGTCCAGGGGACACAGGGCACACTAACAGGGTGACGCACTTCTCACGCTTTGTATGTACAACTTGGCAGGAAACCGTTTCCCGCCCGTGGCTCCTTCGCAGGAGGTCTAGGCCTCCCAGGGCTTCCTGTCCCTCCACCTCTGGGCCTGGAGGGCTGGCCCACGTGGGTGAAGTCCCACCTCCCACCGTCCTCCGAAGCTCCAATCAGGCAGAGGCCCGAGCAGCAGGCCTGGCCCGAGCCACCGAGGCAGAGGACACGTGCCCCATCCTACACGCGAGGCCAGGCCTCCCAGATCCTGCTGTGCTGTGAAGCCCTCGGGCCCGGCCTTCTACCTGCTGAGCCCGGAGGAGAAGGGAAGTGGAGGGGGCTGCAGGACGTCTGTCTGCGAATCTGACCCCTGGCTGCCTCTGCGGCCCCAGGCCTGTGGGTCGCACCGCGCCCCTGAGCTTGGAAGGCGGAGGGACAGACAGCACAGGTGCTCCGCCATGTTGGAAGGTCCCAGGGACTGGCCTTCTCATCCACAAGCTCCCTGGGCCGACCGCAGTGGGTGGGGCCTGAGTCGGGTCTGAGGCACCTTCTCTCGAGCCGGCATGTCAGCCGCAGGAGCTGACCTTGTGACTCGTTTCCACGGGATGGATGGACGGAGAAACTGAAGCCCACACAGAGGAGTTTCCCATCAGCCCCCGGGCCGAGGGTGGGGTGAGGAACAGGAGGACACGCTTTCAGCCCACCTTTGGTTCAGAAGCATCGAATGGTGTCACTGTCACTCCCAATGGAGGGAGCAGCCTCGGGTTGCGATGTCACTGCGCCTGGGAACTGAAACGAGGGAGGAGACCACAGTCGTTCGGGAATGGTGGGTTGCCGTCTCCACACCTCCTCCGGCAGCCGCCGGCGTCCACAGGGCAGCTGGTTGAGGTGTGAGGGTCCTGGGGGGTTGGAACCTGGGGGCGTCTTGAAGCCCATGCTGACTCCTGGTGGAAATCCCAGCACCCACACACTCCTGCATCCGCTGGTGCCGGTCAGTGATGAGTCCGTGAGCCGAGTGTTCCTCACGGGCGCCCTTGCATTTGCAGGAATTTCAAGAAATTCAGACATCAGCGAGGACTTCCTCCTTCCCTGCCTCATCCCAGGATCCGTCAGGACCTGGGCATCAAAGGACAGTGTGTGTGTGTGTGTGTGTGTGTGTGTGTCTGCACATGTGCATTCACACGCGGATCCTTTGTGGGAGAGGCCAGCCTCAGGCTTCCCGAGTCCAGGCTGGAGTCCAGGACCCAGGTTCCAGGCGGCCCTGCCCTTTGCTTGGCCCTTGTCTTCCGTTCTCTGCTCCGTGACTTTGGAGTTCACTTCACCTTTTATGAGGTGATTCCACTCCGTGGGTGCGAGCGCTCGTGAACAGATAAAAGGCGTAACTGGTATTTCAGGAGACCAGCACGTGGCTCTTTCTGTGGAAACACAAGGGCATCCTATCGCCATCCAACTCCTGTCCGAGTTCTGGCGGACGGGGTGGCAGAGCCGCCTGGGGCGAGGCAGAGAGCCCTGCCTCCCGCTCCTCCCCCCGGGGGTCGTGAAGCCCGGCCTGTGGACAGTGGGACTCCCTGCCTGGAGGGACGCCCTGTGCCTTCACATCAGGCAGAGAGAGTGGCCAGAGAGCGGGAGGGCACCCACCGGGGGAGGTCGCCTCACACCTGCTCCTGAACACCTGTCTGCTGTCTGTCTGTCTCTAAGCCCAGGTGTGGTCCCTGCACATCCAAGGACAATGTTCTCTGAGCTCCGGCCTCCTCCCCACCTGTGGGTGTGAATCCAGCCTGGGCAGCTAACCTGGGGCCTCCCAGCCCACCTGTCCTCGGTGAAGAAACAGTGCCCTCTAGTGGGCCCTGCTGGGAGCTGGTCCGGCCGGGTCATGGCTCAGGCCAGACAACCCGCTCCAGGGCTGAGCCTGGCATTGGTCTGTTTACAGGAGAGGAAAGGCGGAGTAAGAACAGGGGGGTCCTCCTATCTCGGGGGTTTCAGTAAAGGATTATCCCAGGGCCAGTGGGGGGAGGGTGGCTGTGACCTCAGACGCATGTAAAGGGGTGTGACAATTTCTGTAGAAATCACTTACCTGCTGGGACTGGCCTCTGACATGAGGGGGTAGATTTGTGAGAAGGAACTCTTCCTTTAAGAAATATGGCCAAGAATTCTGAGCCGCGGCCTGTTAAACCCCCTCATGCATGGGCAGCAAGGGGGATGGCCCTTTAAGGCCCGCTTCAGTGGCAGCTGCTGGGCTAGGAGCGCGGGAGGGCAGGGCAGCGGCGCCGTCAGGGCCGGAACCTGATCTCATGTGATGGCTGCGGATTAGGTAACAGCTCCGCCGTGGAATTGGATCTGGAGGGCTCATTTGAGTCCTGCAGGCGCCCGGAGATAAAGGGGACCTTTTAAATAATCATTTCGTCTCCTGCTCGCCCGCGTCGGAGCGTCGGTTCTGCTTAAGCCATCGCCTTCTCGTTTATTTCACGTTGGCGGGATCTGTTTAACTGGCTGCTTTGCCTAGCAGCCCCACACCCGTGTGTCGTGGGCCCAGATGTGCGTGCAGGGTGTGAGCTGGGCACGTGGCTCCCTCACGCCCCTGTGGCAGCCCCGGGCCGTCGGAGGCAGAACCTGCCCGGAACAGAGTGCAGGCGAAGGCCTGCTCTCATCCTTGCTGTCCCATAGGGACAATGTTTTTCTCTGAAGTTTATCGGATCCCCCAGCACTTATGGTGCCTCATGTTTTTATCATGCCAACTTCTCATTGGCCACATTTAGAAACCAATCAGGTTACGTTTCAGTGCATCCTCATTTCTTGCGGAAAGTATTTCCATAGGACGCAGAGAAGGGCAGACTCAGTGAAACGCTAACAGTTCGAATGGGATTTTTTAAATCTCCCTCAACTCAGTGGTCCTTCATGCTTGCGGGCGTCCACCCTGGTCCGCCTGGCCCTCCGCAGCGGGCACGGCTGCTCCCGGGGTCCCTTCCAGCCAGACATTTCCTTCCTTGTTTGATTGAAAACCAGGCCGTTGTCCAGGCCAAGAAAAATAGTAACTAGGTCGGCACGCGGGCCTGTGCGTCACTGTGCTACCTGTTGGTTGTTTAAGAGAGGAAGCGAGGCCTGGCCGCCCGCTCAGTGGTTGGAGCGCCGTCCCACGCCCCGGGAGGTTCCATTCCGGCCGGGGCATATTCCTAGGTTGCGGGTTCGATCCCTGGTTGGGGCATGTCTGGGAGGCAACTGACTGCTGTTTCTCTGTCACGCCTTCTACCCTCCACCTTGAGGGCCACCGCGGGTCCGCACGGCCCATTGCACAGGCACGTGCCTCAGGGATGTGATGCAGGAGTGGGTTTCCCGGTGAACCACTCTTCTGGTTGGTTCTCATTGCCTTTCAGACACAGCCCTTCACTGGCACACCCCCGGGCTCACGAGGTGCACCCTTCCCTGAACCAGCTCTTGCCCCGCTGATCCAGTGGCACGTCTCCATGGGTCACAGGACCCTGCCAGCCCACCCCCAGCGTGTGGACAAGCTCGGGACTGCTGCTCCCGGGCCTCAGTCACTCCCCTCCTTTCCTGCCCCTCCCAGTGCTTTCCCATGTTTCTTCATTGGACATTCTTCCCAGGCTCCCTCTGGGCAAAGACCTGGCTGCTGGCACCCTCACTGGGTGTGCTGAGCTGTGCCGGGTGCAGGGTGTGCCAGGGTGAAGGAACCACCCGCTGCCCTGCTGACCAACTAGATCACTCCCTCCCTTAGTCCCCCCTCTCCCCACCCTTTGCCTGCCTGGGCACCACACTGCAGGCACCTGCAGGCCTATCCAGTGGCACGTCTCCATGGGTCACAGGACCCTGCCAGCCCACCCCCAGCGTGTGGACAAGCTCGGGACTGCTGCTCCCGGGCCTCAGTCACTCCCCTCCTTTCCTGCCCCTCCCAGTGCTTTCCCATGTTTCTTCATTGGACATTCTTCCCAGGCTCCCTCTGGGCAAAGACCTGGCTGCTGGCACCCTCACTGGGTGTGCTGAGCTGTGCCGGGTGCAGGGTGTGCCAGGGTGAAGGAACCACCCGCTGCCCTGCTGACCAACTAGATCACTCCCTCCCTTAGTCCCCCCTCTCCCCACCCTTTGCCTGCCCGGGCACCACACTACAGGCACCTGCAGCCGTGCCCTTCACTGCCCGGACACCACACTGCAGGCACCTGCAGCCCCGCCCTTCACCGCCTGGGCACCACACTGCAGGCACCTGCAGGCCCGTTCTTCGCCGCCCCAGGCACTGTGAGTGCTTTCAGTTCTGGTTTTCCCCTTCTGGTGCCCACTAACGCCCCTCTCTGTCTCCCTGCAGTTCTGAGTATCCGGGGTGCCCAGGAAGAGGAGCCCACAGACCCCCAGCTGATGCGACTGGACAACATGCTGCTGGCGGAGGGGGTGGCAGGTCCCGAGAAGGGGGGCGGCTCGGCGGCGGCAGCAGCGGCCGCAGCGGCCTCTGGAGGGGCCGGTTCTGACAACTCGGTGGAGCACTCGGACTACAGAGCCAAGCTGTCGCAAATCAGACAGATCTACCACACGGAGCTGGAGAAGTATGAGCAGGTAATGCCCGCCGGCCTCGCTCCACCCCGACTCCGTCACCTGCAGTCCAGCACGCCTTCCTTTCACATAGTGCAGGGCATGCCCGGGTGCCCTCCGCCCCCATGAACAGAGCAGGGTCTCTGGGGCCCTAGAGTCAGACAGACATAGGTTCCAGTCCTGCCCCCTGCAATGGTGTGGGGCCTGTGGGGCCTGTGAGTGTGTGTGGGAGTGAGTGTGTCCCCTGCAGTGGTGTGGGGCCTGTGTGACCGTGTCTGTGGAAGTGTGTTCCCTGCAGTGGTATGAGGCCTGTAGGACCTATGAGTGCATGTGGGAGTGCATGTGTCCCCTGCAATGGTGTGGGGCCTGTGTGACCGTGTCTGTGAGTGCGCGTGGGAGTGAGTGTGTCCCCTGCAATGGTCTGCAGGACCCAGTGTTCCACAAGCTTCCCCAGGGTGGTGGTTCCTGGCAAAGAGCTGAGCTCTTGGAGTTGAGGCTGTTACAGGAAAGGGTGGGAGCGGCTGCGAAGGGCAGAGCCATCTGTGAGGGTGAGGATTCTCATTGAGGGGTTCCTCCAGCTGAGACCTCCCCTCTATACCCGCACGCTCACTCACACACGTGCACTCACACACACATACGCTCACTCTCACACTCACACTCACTCACACACACACAACCTCACAATCTCACACACATACTCTCACACACTGACCCTCAGCCACACACACAATCTCACACATGCATTCACACTCACAATGTCAGAGTCTCACACACTCATACAATCACTCTCACACACTCAGTCACATACACAATCACAATCTCACACACATGCACTCACTCACACTCAGTCTCTCACACTCACAGACACAGTCACACATGCTCACACACACATGCACTCACACACACTTATGCATTCACTTACACACACTCATAGACTCAGTTACTCATACACACTCACACTGACAGAGTGACACACACTCATACACATTCACACTGGCTGACAGTGACACACTCACACATCAAGCTGTCTCCATGGCCGGCATGAGCAGTCCCATGTCCAGGAGCCCCTACACCAGCCTTCCCTCATTGATTGGCAGGTGTCTGTTTTCCCCGCCTTGATGGCAACCTTGTCCTGACTCCACAGCTGACTTCCTACCTTGACTGTCAAGCGCCTGGCTTTCTCTCCTTCCTTGGGTCCCAAAAGAAGAGGGAGGAAGAGCAAAAGGGGAAGGCCCTGCCCTCCAATCCACTTACGACTGCCTAGGTAGAAGGCAGATGCAAACTTAATAGACAATCTAATTTTTAAAGTAGAAGTAGGCATTTAAGAAGTTAAAGTGAAGAAGGTTTCATTGTTGTACTCAGATCTACCTACCGTCGAAGTGCATTTCTGCCAAGGCCCTTGGTTAATGAGATAAACTGGCGCTTGGGCCAGGCCTGGGGAAGCCAGCTGTGCCACCCCTGCCTTCTGGGGACAGAACCACGGCCCTGCCGCAGATTGGCTTGTGTGGACATTCCCGGGCCCAGGGGTGTGTGTGGAGAGCTGGCTGACTCAGGAGCCAGAGGGCAGTCGCCCTGAGGGATGGGGCACCCTGGGAAGATATTTCCTACAGGGACATTTCCTATGAAGGTTCCCAGCCTCTGGCTTCTTCCTCCTTCCCTCCACCAGTCAGCCTGTCTCTGGCATAACTGCCTGGCCTGGCATCCAGGGAGCTCACGCCCAACTCCCGGGCACAGGAGAGCCCGGCTTGCGGCCTCCCCGCTACACCCAGCCCTGGAGTGGACGTTAGGTGGGAAGGTATTGGGAACTGGCTTTGTTCTCAGCATAGAACTGACTGTCTTCCTGATTTAACCCCAACACTCCTCTGTCACCCCAAATGAGGAAGCCACGACTACTGCATTTTCCTCCAGGGTATCCTGTGCTTGGGTGCCCGGGACAGGTACTGTCATCATCTCCGATTGGTACAGGTGAGGAAACGGAGGTCCAAGGTCAGGTGATGTGCCTGGGGCTCAGCCAGTGTAGGCAGGTTGCCCTGGGGCCCGGCTGTGGCCACAAAGGGCCGAGCCCACCCTCCGTGGCTCTGTGGACTGCTTGCTGGCCCCAGGAGCCTGGGGTCATGTTCACCCTCAGCAGGTACCTGTGCCCCTGACAAAGGTGCTGGGTCCTGGGTGCTCCGGGGAGCCCACCGTCACAGAGCCCTGCTCACGTGTGGTGGGGATGGTCCCTGGCCATCCCTCTGAAGAAGGACTAAGAAATCACCGCCTCACCCACGCGGGCATTTCCGGCTGAGAGCCGAATCCACTCAGCACATCTGGTGCTTAATCTCATGTCCATATTAGTTGTGCTGCTTATTATAGTGAAGAGCAGGCTGTAGGGGCCTGTGCCTATGCCGTTAGCCTCCCAGCTGGTCCGCTGGGACCGATCTTACTCACTTTTCTGTGACCATCCCTCTGGCAGCTTTTGGAAAAGTAGGAAAGCTCAGTAGAGGAAGTGGTGTTCGTACCTAGATGCAATGATCAAGTTGACTCTTGGATAGTTTTGTGTGTGTGTTGTTTTAATTTTAGTTTGTTGCTGGTAGAGAGCCAGGTGTAAGGAGCCCTGTCACAGCTGCCTGCACCGCACTGCCCACCGGGTTACTGGTCCGCAGCTGCTGGAGATTCTCAATAGAAAGAAGGGGAGGAATTATTTTGTTCTTTAGACGGGATTGGAACACGTCTTCAGCAGCCACCCTGAGGCGGAGGCCTGGGGAGCTGGCTGCTCTAACAAAGACGCCATGGCAGGAACCTGGGAGCTGGCCCACCTGCTTTCTTCAGAAAACGGGGCTCCCGCGGCTTTGCAGGCTCCCAGCTCCTGTAAGCAGTGCTGCGGGACGTGGATGGGCCAGTCTCCAGGGCTGACCTGGGCAGGTCGCTCGCACCCCCAATGAGACTGGCCTCCCCTCCTGGGGGAAGGGTTAAGGGAAGAAGGCGGATGTAAGGGCGATCCAGGGCCCGGAGCCAGACTTGCTCAGAGGCGTTTCCTCCGTTTGCTCTCCCAGGAACAGCCTTTCAGAAACCGCCGCCCCTGGGGGCTGCAGCTCTGGCTCCGGGAAGGGACCGTCCCAGAAACCGCCCGCTGTGTGGGTTGCACTGACTGGCAGTTGTAACCGGCCATGGTTCTGAGAGGGCAGCCCAGCACAGGGCCGAGCCCGGGGGACGGAGAAGGGAAGCAGGCAGTCGAGGTCTGGAGAGACCTGGGTCGGGATGTTCTGTCCATCTTCCCGGACTTGGAATGTCGTAAGCTGCCGCCACACATCTGAGCAGCTGGCCAGCAGCTGTCTGGCTGCCGCTGGCCAATGGGTGGGGGACTCCACTGTCTGCCTGTGGCTGAGCAGAAGGCCCCAGGGAAAAAGCCCTAACAGCAGGCAGTGTGAGTACTTTTATTCTCAGCAGCGAAGCACATGAATTGTGGACCCGCCCGTAGCTTTGCAGTGGGAACCAGTGCCCTTGGCAATGCCTCCTCATTGGTCCCCGAGGTGAAGCTGCTGCCCCGAACCCGCACCCCACCCCGAGCCTCCTGGAGTCCCACAGCTCACTGCTGGGTTTACCCTCTTTTCTGTCCACAAAGTTGGGTGCTTCAGGGCAGAAGAAACTTACAATACAGAGCCTGTTTCCATGGTAGCATCTTATTGGAGAGCAGAGGCCACCTGGACCGATTGTCCATGGATTGGTCCTCATCAGGTGTCTGCAGAGTAGAGGGAAGGTACCTGGGAGCCCTTTTGTTTTTACCAGGACGGAGTCTGAGGCCTGAGAGTTCACCAGTTGTGATAATACCTTGGGCTCCTAAGTTATCGGACTTTGAAGAGACAGTGGCACACGTTTAGATGGCCCAGCATGTACACAGTAACTCAGTTCCTGCTCGCCGCACCTCCGCAGTGGCTGTTGTCACCCACGTCACTAATGAGGAAGATGAGGCAGAGACGCGATGTTAGGTGACTCCCGAAGGCCCTCAGCCAAGGGAGTCCCAGAGGGGACTCCTCCTCGGCCTCTGCTGTGTCCCAGTGACGGGCCCCACCCGCAGGGCACGGCTCAGGAGTGTGGGCACTGCCAGGCTCGCTAGAGGGTCAGGAATGGCCGCGTCCACCCAGACGAACAGAGGGAGCTCTGGGTGGTGAAAGCGTTCACCCAAATCCGCGAGGAGGCAGGTCAAGGCCAGCCTCCCAGTCCCAGAGGGTGCATCTCTGTGTACCTTTGGGCAGAACCTCAGAGGAGGCTCGGGGAGGGGCTGTGGCTGGTACTGTCGCTGTGTCATTGACCAACAGGAGGGCTTCGTGCTGCTGAAACGTGGCAACGCCTGTTGTCGATGACGAACGCATTTCGTGGTTAAGGCTGGGCTGGACCCTCTGAGTCTTGGGTTCTCACAGCAGCCTTTTCCTTTACAATACACTCTGACGACATTGCGTGAGTTCACCTGGGAACAGGTGCTTTACTGAGTGCCGAGCGGGGAAGCCTGGCTACGGGTGATAAGGACAGACACTAAAGGAAAGGGCAGCGGGTCAGAGGGGAGGCCAGGATGCCTGGGCCCGAGGGCACCGCGGTTACACCCTGCGAGGCTCCTGTCTGCAGGGCGAGCCCCTGAACCCTCTAAGCCCCGCGTGAGGCTGTGCCTGCGGGCCCCTCACGTTGTGGGCACGGGGCCTGCCAGAGGCCAGCGAGGAGGGACTCCTTGTTACAAAAGCAGGAGTGGAAATGAGTTGGTGGGAAGCTTAGAATCCCAGGATTCCACTCTTCCGTGGACGAGGCAGGACGTACTTTTGTGGCCCCACACTCTCTGTGGCTGTGAACACGGTGAGGGGGAGTGTTGTGACCTGTATTTTACACTGAAATTATCTTCTTGTCCTTTACAGTAGTAAAATCATGGGAAAAAAGATCGAAACATGATTAAAAATTTTCTTTTCTCTTAAAATCTATAGATGGCCCAAGGTTAGCGTCAGGCCATTACTTGGTCTGTGCCTCCGACTTGACAGAATGCCACCCACACCCTGTGGGTCCCTGCCCCCACATCCCGGGCGCCGCACGCCCGCCGGCCCTCACCTGCGTGTCCTGTCCCCGCAGGCCTGCAATGCCCTGTGGGTCCCCGCACCCACACCCCGGGGCGCCGCACGCCCGCCGGCCCTCACCTGTGTGTCCTGTCCCCGCAGGCCTGCAATGAGTTCACCACCCACGTGATGAACCTGCTGCGTGAGCAGAGCCGGACCAGGCCCATCTCCCCGAAGGAGATCGAGCGGATGGTGAGCATCATCCACCGCAAGTTCAGCTCCATCCAGATGCAGCTCAAGCAGAGCACGTGCGAGGCCGTCATGATCCTGCGCTCCCGGTTCCTGGACGCGCGGTAAGTCGCCCTCGGCCGGGCCTCTGGGAGCATCCAGGGGGCTGGGGCTGCGGCCCCGCTCCAGACCCCGGTTTCCCCAGGGAGCCAAGGAAGCGCGTGGGCCAGGGAGGCCACTGTGGCCAGAGCTGCAGGAAGCGTGGGGCTGGAGGGTCGCGTCCATTCTGGAGCAAGGATGACGTGGCTACAGGGACAGCAAAGGCAGGACTTTTTCCTACTACTGGGGACCTCCTTTTTTAAATTTATTGATTTGAGAGAGAGAGAGAGAGAGAGAACAGAGAACACTGGCTTGTTGTTCCACCCATCTTTGCATTCATACTCGATTCATTAGTTGACTCTGTATAGGAGAAGAAGAGGGAGGGGGAGGGGGAGGGGGAGAAAGAAAAAAACATTGACTTGCTGTTCCACTTATTCATGCATTCATTGGTTGGATCTTGTATGTGCCCTGACCGGGGATGGAACCCACAACCTTGATGTATGGGGGACGACACTCTAACCCACTGAGCGCCCGGCCGGGGCGGGGACCTCCTCTATGGGCCTGTCTTTATAGGGTCTCACTAGCACCCGGCCCGACACGTTCCCTGGAAAGGCAGTTCCATTTGAGAGCTGAGACCCCCTCCGGGCCGTGTGCAGGCCAATCGCCACTGCCACGATCCAGGCTGAGGTTAGGAGAACAGACGGTGAGACCCGGTCCCGGGGCCACAGGGAGCAAGGGCTGGTGCACAGGGGCCGAATCTGGCTCAGGTTCCATGTTTTCTTTGGGATTGCTGCTCAGGGCCTCGTGTGAGTTCAAAGAATTCAGTTGAAACCATGGATACAAAGGCCTTTAAGACCGAACCTGAGAACAGATGACAAGCCATGGCTCTCAGCCCCTCCTCCCCAGACCAGAGGGCTCGGGCAGTGCTGGACTTCTCCGGCGCCGGTTCCCAGCCGGGTGGCGTGGGGATCGCACCTGCTGTCGGGGAAGCAGCATGTGATCTTGCAGACGCCCCTCGGAGAGGCTGCCTCTCTGGCTGCACCTCCTCCCCAGGGGCATCTCCCACGAAGGCGGAGTCACCTTCCTTGTGCCATTTTCTGAAGACAATCCCACTCTCCGATTTTTATCATTGAACAGTTAGATGTGTCAGGGGTGCACCGTTTCACAGCCGTAGCTTCTTCAGACAGGCTGGCTGCTCTCTTTGCATTTATCTCTCCTGGAATCGTGTGTTTCTCTCTGCTCCATAGTGGCCTTTGCCGCCCACAGGCCCGGCATCCCCTCACTCCCTGCTGTTCGGTGTGTTGTGGGCCCCCTGGAGCGTAGAGTGAGAACGCCAGCCAGCAGCCTGCCTCTGGGCCGGCGGAATAGCCAAGAGAAAGTAAAACTGAAGATGGCTTTTCCTGGCTGGGCGTGCCCATGAGTGAGGAGGGGGTCCCCGAGGCAGGACCCTGCGTCCCCCTCCTCCAAGGCCGCCAGCCTGGCTTCTCTCACGCAGGGCGGCCTGCAAGTGACAGGCGGCCGCCACTCTGCCATCCCCATGGCAACACCCCTTGTTAAAATGCTGGAGTTGGTATTTATGTTGGCAGATACTGAAAAAAAGAAAAGTTGGACCCAGACTGAGTTCTTTTCAAGAAAGGAGGCGGGGAGAAGGGGGCAGGCCGGCGCCCAGACTGTCCTTGCTGCAATCCTGGTGCATCCGGGCCGCGGTCGGACGCAAAGCCAGGGCCTCAGCTCCCATGGCCTCCACGCCGACCATTTCCTTTGGCCCGAGACCATCCCTTCCAGGGACCTTCGTTCCTGCGTGGGGTGCGACCTCTGAATCGTGGCCTCTGAGCCACGGTCCCAGTGAGCACAGCTGACCCTGTCGTTCTTGGCGCTGATTCTCAGGGTATATTTGGTGTCAGTGAAAGAATATAACCCAACGCCATCCAGGGCTGAGCCAATGGCTTTCTGAGCACAAATACAGTGTGCGGCGCCTGCCGGGCAGTCATGGCCCCTCCCCGCTGCCGCGGGCCAGGCTGCGGGGGCTCAGCAGAGAGCGAGGGGTAACAGGGAGGGGCAACACGCAAAGGGGATGCATGTGTGCTAGGTCACCACACATGTAGACGCACATGTTCCTGCTGTGCTGTGTACACCCCTGTGTTCGCTCCCAGTTGTCTCCTAACACAGCCACAGACTTAGCCACTAACACAGTGCCTCACCGTCCCTGCTGCCTGGGGTCACAAAGCTATGACCCAGGTGCCGGCCGAAGCCGGACTCACCTGAGGCGCGGGGCCTCTTCCAAACTCTCTCCACGGGCGGAGTTCAGTTCCCACAACTTTGGGGCAGGTCCAGGCTCTGGGAGCCGCCCCTCCAACAGGCGGCCCGCACGGCCGGCAGGGGGGGTCCCGCCAGGCAAGCGTTAGCCCAGTGCCCCCTCTCCGTGGACTTCCACCCGAGGACCAGAGCCTGCGCTGCTCTCAGTGTCCCAGGAGCTCTGAGCGTGGGTCCCCACGGGCTCCGTAGAATCCGCCTCCCCCTCTTCCCCTGAGCTCTGCCCAGGTTTCGTCCATGCAAGTCATTTCCTTTTTCTCTGCCTTACGTTGGCTTAACTGAGCCAGAAAATGGCGGCTTAAAAATTCCACGCATTCATTAATTCACCCATTCATTCAATGTTCATCATCTCATGCCATGCACCAAGCCTCGTGCTGCGCAAGTGTGGAGATTAAAGCGGTTTACGGGCAAGGTGCAAGCACGGAGACCTAGCAGGCTCGCGCTCAGAATCCGAACTCTACTCCTTTTCTTTGCAGTTAAAAGAGAGAGGACTTATAAACCCCCTTAATCAGCAGTCGCCAACCAGCGGTATTTACGTTGGACTGGTGGTCCGTGAGGTCCGAAAGGTTGGCGACCGCTGCTCTTAATGATGTCTGGCAACAATTTGCCTTTTTCGATAACATTTTGCTGGCGAGAACAGCAAGAAGGTAACCATGATGAGAAGTGCCATGTGCGCCTCGCCCGATAGAGGGGCTGCAGAAAGGGAACAGCGACGGGGCCGTGGAAGAGGAAGGACCCGGGAGGCGCTCAGAAGGGCTCTGTAGAGATGGATTTGTTCACCGAATAGAGTCCAGATGCTGAGCCAGCACTGGAACAACAAAGATGAAAAAGGCGTGCATGGGCCCAGCCTTCAGGGAGCTCATCTCACGGCACAGAGGCTCTTAGACGCCTCACAAAACCGCACGTGAACTCCTGGGACACAACTGCCAACCCCGAGTGGCCAGGAGGGAGTCAGGGTGGGCACAGACCTGAGTCTCAGAGAAGCGTGGGGTCAGCGTGGCAGGAGCCGTAGACAGCACCCTCCAGCAGCCACGCAGCGTGGCCTGAGTGCTCACTGTGGGCCGGCACTCGGGTTTCAGATGAGCACGGAACAGCCCCTCCCGTGGGGACCGCCCGGCAGTTGGGAGACAGACACACCTGTGCACATGCTGCTGAGAAAGGCACGGTGGGTGGGAAGGCAGAGTGTGGAAGCCAGGAGTGTCTTTGGGGGACGGGGTGCATGGGTGAGGCTGGGGAAGTTGTGTAAGCATGGGTAGGATGGTAGGATTGGGGGGAATGGGCACCAGGGACAGGATGGACCCCCGAAAAGCCAGAGCTGTGTCCTGTATCCAGGACCAGGGCACAGCAGGGCTCAGACTCGGGTCAGGGTTAGGGGTAGAGTCAGGGGTAGTGTTAGGGGTAGGGGTAGGGCTGGGGTTAGAATTGTGGTTGGGTTAGGGTTAGGGTTAGGGTTGGGTTAGGGTTAGGGTTGGGTTAGGGTTAGAGTTAGGAGTAGAGTCAGGGGTAGTGTTAGGGGTAGGGCTAGGGTTAGGGTTGGGTTATGGTTTGGGGTTAGGTTAGGGTTTGGGTAGGGTTAGGGTTTGGGGTTAGGTTAGGGCAGGGGACAGCATGTATGGTGCTTAGCAACGTAAGTCCACAATGCCTACGTGTCCCACTCTAAAATCTGCCAGATTCAAGGAGTTTGTTCTCTAATATGCTGCATTTATCCGGGAATAATTCATCCACGTCCATATTTCTTAAAATCAAAGTCTAAAGACCAACTCTCGGAGGTTGAACGGCCTGGTTCGCGAGCTGATAACACTTAAAGCCGAAGCGAGTAGCCGGTGTCTGCGTCCCTGCCCCTGTCCTGGGATGTGTCACTTCCGCTCAGTTTCTTAAATCCTGACAGATCCTGGCCCTGGGGTTTCACCAGCCTAGGCTGTGTGGCCCAGGCTGACAGCCGGGAAGGAGTGGGGAGCAGGCCCACCGGGAGGTGAGGCCTCCCGGGAGACTGCCCCCACGTGAACGAGGCTCTCCCCATCAGGGCAGCGTTCGGGGCACAGGGCCCCAGGCCCCGAACAACTCTCTCCAGGCCCAGAGGAAGCCAGAGGTGATGTGAGGACAAGCTTGGTACCGAGGCAGCTCGGGCTCCCCCCGAGACCCCATCACGCGGGAGCTTCAGACACTTGCCTACTTTTCAGTTGGGTTTTTAACTCAACTGCCCAGTTCTGATGCTGGTGACCCAGAAACCCAGCGTGATTGGGGAGAGCAACTCGTCTTGCAGTGTCTGGACAGATGTGGCTCATACCTGTGGACAGATGGTGCTCACCCGGTAAAATCAGGCACTTCATCGTGTTAATTAATCCACGCGGGACTGGAAAACACAATATTAGCTGAATTTCCTGTCTAGCACGGTGGTCCATGCTTTTTGTTGGCTAAATTGGGAAACTCTATCCTGGCACAACCAGGGACGTTCTGAGCATCTTGTCCATAAGGAAAAGCTTTTGATAGAAGCAAGAAAGGCAAGTGAGCTAATTTTATTTTAAAGAAGGAGGCCCCTGCTCGGGGTTGGGGGGACGACCAGAGTCTGCAGTGAGCCGTGTCCCCACACAAGGCCTTCTGGGAGGAGGCAGTGAAGGAATTCTCACTTTAAATTAGTTCAATTAGCACTTTTTTTTAAAGGCAGAAAAACGCTTTTATTCAAAAAGTGGTCTTGGGCTCAGCCACCTGTGTGAGCATGAAAGCAGGCAGCGGGCGTCTGATCTGCCAGGTGGGGCTGTTCTTACCTGGAGATGCCCCTTCGCTCCGGGGCTGGGAGGCCAAGCCCTCGGTCCTTCTGCCGCGCCAGGCCCTCTTCCGGGCCCAGTGGGTGTCTCGCAGGTGGGTATGTGATGGCTGTGGCAGCCAGCCCCTTGGCACAGTTCTGTCCTCTCCCGGTGGACCCCTTCTCTCCCTGTTGGTGTGAATTTGGTGTGAACTCGTTTTTTGTGTCTCATTTGCTCCCTTTCTCCCGTGCAGGCGGAAGAGACGGAATTTCAACAAGCAGGCGACGGAAATCCTGAATGAATATTTCTATTCCCATCTCAGCAACCCTTACCCCAGTGAGGAAGCCAAAGAGGAGCTGGCCAAGAAGTGCGGCATCACCGTGTCCCAGGTGAGGCCCGGCTCAGCCTGCCCTGGGGGCGGCCCCGGGGCCTGCAGGCTCTAGCAGCTGACGCCTAAGACAGCAGGGTCAGCCTGCGCTGTGTGAGCAGGGAGCTTCGGGCCAGGGCCTGGGGAACTGGCCAGGGACCAGCGGGAACCAAAGACCCAGTGGAGGGCTGCGGAACCCGGGCTGCGGTTCCTCCCACCGACAGCCCGCTGCCTCCAACACGGAGGAGCTTTCAAGGAAAGTTCTCCTGTAGTTTCTCAGACACAGTCCATGCCTTGGCCCACTTTCTGCCGCACCCCACTCCGCAGCCAGGGGACGAACTGTCACGTGGAAGGGACAGACGCGCCTTCTCTCTGCGCTCACTGACGAGGGTGTGGGGAACTAACGGCCCGTGGGCACTGGAGTGTCGCACACGTCTCCGAGTCCCCTCCCCCAGAGAGCGATGAGTGACAGGTGTCCGTTGTCAGGGCAGGATGCAGGATGTTCACAGACCCGAGTCTTCGGCATTCGTGTGAGAAGGAGAGGAGGCAACATTCATACATAAGAGGGTCCGTGTGAACCTCTCGCCCAGTCGGAACCTCGGATTCCACCCTGATCTCTAGCTGGGACCAGGAGGGAGAGTCTGAAATCTACCACAGAAAGCCTTCCTCAGCATTACCTCATGTGCAAGAGACCCAAATGGGTCTCCATGGTGGGTGGGGCTGGGGTGGGGGTCCGGATGGGTGGGGGGACTGATGTAGTGCGGAGTTCGCTGGACAGCTGCCCGTCCTCTTGAACAACCTATGCAGCTGTACTTTGTTGAACCGAGCCCGGGCTCCTGGTACTCCCTGCAGGGCGCACTCCCATCAGCCTGCGGTGAGCCAAGCAGAATTAGGCCTGGCCAGGGGACCCTGATGGCCAGCTTTCCAGGGGCTCCCCAACAAGCTGTGTGATTTTGCAGCAGCGTTAGCAACACCTTCCAGGAAGATAAGGTGGGAAAATCAACTCCTTTTCAGCTCCACCTTCCTTAGGCGCTGACCCAGCGGAAGGTCATTTCCAGTCCCGACAACCCAGGAAGCACCGCCTGGGACAGCTTGTCAGACCTCAGGCCATGATGCTGAGCAGTGAGGTCATTAATGAGACACGGATTCTATGTGTCACCCAGGGCATGCGACAGCCCCTGGTGGGCCACCAGGCATTCCGGACAGAGCTGGCACCTTCCCTCCCATTCAGCTGTTCTCGCCTAGAAGGGAACTATCCCCAACATGTCCCCTGCACCTCTTCCTTCTCCTGTTTTCTCGCTTGTAGCTGATTTCACCATCCCTCAGGCGTGTCCTTTCTTTCTCAAAAGTCCCCCAAACTACCATCCCCCGTTTCTCAGCTCATCCAGGCCCTCCAAGAAGCCCTCTCCTTCCGCTCCCTGTCCCACCAGCAGTCAAAACGCAGCACAGCTACGTTGATGCACATGGGGTGGGGCATTGTCCAGGAAGAATAGGGATTGGGGTGGACTGCAGAGCATTGGTGAACGACCCAGCCGTGCCCTCCTCTGAGTTTGATTTTTAAGCAGAGCCTTGGCGTTTCTGCTGTATCACCCGCTGCGCAGAGCGACCGGGGTCAGCGTGTGAGACTGTGACTCTCGCTCACGTATTCTAAAGCTGGTGTCGTTTGCAAGAATTCCCTTTGTCCGCCTTCGGCACAGAGGCTGTGTGAGCCGAGGTGCAGGAGCACCGCCCGCCCCCGCCAGGCTCAGAGTCCTCTTTGTGTTACGTAAGCCCCGGCATTTTAGTGCTAAGTCACATCTGGAATCTGGAGCATACACGCGCCTTCCTAGGCCGGGATCGGGGAGGGAGGCTCGCGGGCGCTGCCCCAATTGTGTCTGGCAGAGGCCGGGACAGCTGCGGTGAGCATCGCCAAGGGACTGAATTCACAGCGAATGGAACCAGGCTTATTCCGAGTGTTGACTTGCACGCGGGAGCCTGGAGCCCCAGTTTCTCCCCAGGTCAAGCGGGTGGGCCTTGCACACACAGCGAAGCCTGTGGGCCTGACCCCACGGATGCTGACACGGTCTTAGCACCATGGCTAAGCATCTAGTCCACATGAAAGTTACCTAACCCCAAAGAGTCTGCATTGAACCCATCAATGTTGACCTAGATTTACATGGATATTTAAAGGTCAGTGTATGTTTATTGCCCAAAGTCAACGTTAGCATTGCTATGACAACTGCTCTCATTGTTCTTTATTTTATTTCAATTTTTAAAAAATATGTTTTTATTTTATTTTAGAGAGAGAGAGGGAGAAACATTGATGAGAGGATCATTGATCAGTTGCCCCCTACCGGAGATGGAGCCCCAAACCCAGGCATGTACCCTAACCAGGAATCCAACCGGCGACCTCTCAGTGCCCAAGACACGCTCAACCAACTGAGCCACACCAGCTAGGGACAAAACTACACTTATTTTTTAAAAGCAGCTTGTTTTAGTGTCATACTTAACAGGTCAGCAAGTTCCCGACGCTTGCCCGGCCTGAGAGGGTCCTGGTTTAAAGAGTGGCTCCTCCTGGGGAGTTGTATCGCTGTGGTTGTGTGAATTGTGTTGTTCAGCGAGCGAGTCTCCTGTTATACCGTTGCTGCTCTCGACTCTAACTTCAGGCCTTTTCCTCAAAGTTGTGAAATCTTAGCTGGACAATCCCCCCACCCACCTCTTCGGCTTCCCCTCCCCCTCACCATGGCCCTGTGTGGAGGAGGAAATGCTAACCTTCTCGTCTTCTCTCACATGCTCTAGGTATCAAACTGGTTTGGAAATAAGCGAATCCGGTACAAGAAGAACATAGGTAAATTTCAAGAGGAAGCCAATATTTATGCTGCCAAAACGGCTGTCACTGCCACCAATGTGTCAGCCCACGGAAGCCAGGCTAACTCACCCTCAACTCCCAACTCGGCTGGTTAGTTTCCTCTTTGATTTGGGGGGACTGGGCTCCGTGTTTATACTTGCTTTTTCTGCATCGGGGTTCCCTTCAAACCTTCAGGTTTCTCGGTTTATGAATCTGCGTGTCCTTTGGTGTCAGCGCCCCTGAGGGGTTTCCCTTTCATTTCCAAAGAGTGGTGTGTTCCGCTGTTTTCACCAAGGGCTTGCCCGGAGGTGAGCACAGGTGTGTCTGTTTAAGGTAAATCGGTTGGTTTTGGGGAGGTGACGCCACGTTCCCCCTTCAGAGATGCCGGGAGGAAGCTCGATGGCCACGTGGGTACGTGGACGTGGTCCTGTGTCCTAGCCCTTGGTCTGTTTCATGGAACTTGACACTTGTCCCTTTGCTGCATCACATACTGGCTGGGTCACCTATGAACACGGCTCCACGTGTGAATATTCACTCTTCCAGCCAACATCTCAGTGGGTGTTCGGTTCTGCAAAGTCAGACTGTAACATCTCTGTACTTCTGATGGTTGTTATTCTTTGCCATTTTATTTTGTTGGGTTTCTATACATAAACTACAAAAGGAAATTGCCAGTCATTGATTCAGATGATTCAGATTTCAGTCTTTACGTTATGCTCAGTCCTGTGCTGTGTTCCTGGTTTTATGCACCAGAGTTTAGGCTCACAACTTATATTTTGGGGTGTGCTGTCTCTCATCCAGTCTGCACTTCCCCCTGCGGAGAAAACATAGTCAGAATGCATAAACTGTAACCTTGGTGCTTGTGTGCTGTAGAGGATATGTTGGTGCTTTTTTCCTAAGGGAAAAACCAGAAATTTCCTAATGAAATGAGTTTGACCTTAGATTATGGCAGTTTACCCCATGGCTGGGGTGCACAGGTGAGAAAATCGATGCCTCCAATTTTAAAGAGTCGCACATTTAAGTATGTGAGCTCTTAATATTGAAAATCTAACGCCCAGCCTTTCGGGGGCACATCGTATCTCTGACCCCAAAGCTTGCTTGTCCACTAAGGTCTCCTCCCAGCTGTGGCGATTGTTCTTAGAGACACGAGGCCCCTGGACGCACAGATCCATTGCTGTAAGGTTCTCCACATCTCGGGGCCGTGCCCTTTCTTTAAACGGAACCCACTGTGGAGGGGCCTGGGCTCTGCAGACTGGGGTGGGGAGGCGCAGCACCTGCCCAGCTGTTTCTCCCAGCACCCCAGGGCGGGGCGCGGAGCGTGCGTGCCTGGAGGTTCTGTGGGTTTCCTTCTCCCCGTGGTGTAAGACTGAGGATCGAGGCCAACAGGTTAAGAACCAGAGCTTCCTCCTGCCCCATGGGCCGGTGATGGAGCGTGTCAGACCCAGCGACCCGGCGGGCGTGCACCGTGAGCAGGCGGTTCGCGGCCTCTGGGGGAGAAGGACGGTTTGTCAGCAAAGCGCACTCCGCGCTCCACAAAGGTCATCGTAACGCAAAGCAGCGGTGGAAACGGCGTTCCTCTCCCGTAGATCTGCCCCGCAGATGGCGGCATGATTCATGGTGCGTCCTCGGACTGACGGGCCCTGCGGACTCCCCTCATCACTACTCTGTGACTTCCCGCCCCCCAGGGGGAGGGAGGAGAGAGCAGGCAGCATGCACCCCTGCCTGGGCGGGAGAAGCCTGCGGCCTGTGGGAATGTCACTGATTACAGTTTCCTGAGAAGTGATTCTGGTGGCTCCCACCTCACGTGACTATTCTGAGCACAAAGTGAATGATTTCGGGACACCTGAGCCAAGCCCCCCAGTGGTTCTGAAGTCGTTGAAAATAACGTGGAGAGGAGCCCTGCGTGCGCTTTCTCTAAAGCAGAGAGAAGGGAATGTGCAGTGTGAGCAGCGGGACTCCTAAAGGACACGCGTCAACAGGAGACACGGGCAGCTTGTCTGCACTCTGGGGTTCTCCGCGCAGCCCACGTCGCCACAGGGCAAGGCAGAACGCGGATGTGACCCAGCCCGTCACAGGCTGTTCCTAATGCTGTGTCAGCTCTGCGATGAGTCTAAAGCATAAGTAACCGTGAAAGCAGACGGCAAGTTTAAACAAAAGGGAATCTGGAACTGTGTTTGGCTGAGTTGGAGCCCCCTGCTCCGGAACCCTGGAGCGTTCTGGTCCCTGTTGAGGTGGGAGCGGTGTCGGAGGTTTGCTCGCTGTAAATCCGCGTTCCTCCTGCAAGGAGGCCACCGGGCCAGCACACCCCCCGAGGCTCCCTCCAGAGCTGCTCTTCCTCCCGCTATGTAGCCGCTTCTGAGTATCCCTGTTGGCTGACAGATGCACGTCTGTTTCCTTAAGCATATTTCATAAAAATCACTTAAAACTGGAACCTGGTGCGGATTAGTGAGCATCTAGAGATTAGTGAGCATGCTTGGCCAATGTCATATTTTGTACCAACACAGTTGGCAACATGGATGCAGCAAAGAGGAAGAATAGAAGGAAGAAAGAAAATGTAAAACAAAAACAGAATGCAAAAATGGGGGCCCATTGAAGTAGTAATTACAGCCCTGGGTCCAAAATTCTTCTGGGAAGACCTTGAGGGACAGTCCCCACGACTCATGGTTGATGAGATCACAGGAAGCGTTGATCTCTGGATAAAGGGGGCCCTTTGGGGAGGTAGCTTGTCTTCTGGGAAGCTTGGAGGACGTTTTCGTATCCAGGAGAGAAGAAATGGGCTGTGGTTTGCCAGTGTCCACGGTGGCAGCACCGACATTAGCATGGGATCGGATCTGTGACCAGCGAAGCACACCCAGGTGTCAGCCTTTCTGCCCAGCGGCAGGGATGTGCCGAGGGCAGCAGCAGGCCCCATGGGGCAGGCCGCCCTCCGGCCCCGTGTACTTAGTAGGAGCCCTGGTTCACGTTCGAATTCCACCCGGAAATAGGAGGCTGGTGCTTTGGGGGTTGGTGGAGGATTGTCACACCAAAGCCTGGACCCTGGCTTCCTGAGAGAAGGCCACGAACCCAGGGAGGGTGACTGGCAGGCCCAGGAACCCCAGAACCCTTGTCATTTGTGTTCCAAGACCTAGTGGAAGACTCTGCCCCATTGGTGGTTCTGTTGTGTCCTCGCTTCCTGTGTTCCGCCCCTTCACGTCTCAGTGGAGAACAGCACAGCCTCTCGAGATTGGGGCTCAGAACCTCCACCTACACCTGCCGTGGGGTTCCCAGCAGCCAACCTTTCCCCTGAGCAGGAAGTAGCAGGGAGCTCGAATTGGGAGGAGGAGGAGACATGGAGAACAGAACGGCCAGCGGAGACACTCAGCCTTCCTCGAGCCGCCCCTGGTGGGGGTCTGACAGGCGGCCCCTCCTCTGTCTGCAAACAGAGGCCGACCTCCCTGCCGCTACTTCACACAGACACAGTGGAGGGAACACACAGGGCTCCTCCCCACGCTGAGCTCCTCGGGAGGACAGCACGTCTATCCTGTCACCGCGCTCAGCAGGGATCTTGCGTCCCGGGGACACGCGGGACTGTCTGCAGGCTCTTGGCGCTGCCCCTGTTTGGGAAGGTGGAGAGGCCAGGCACGTGGGTGATCATTCCGCCGTACAAGTCCGTAACACATCCCACCGGAAGACTGGGGCCAAGAGGGCAGCGGTGCCGGGGCGGAAACCCCGTGCAGCATGGCGATTTCATCATTAGCATTCTCTTTTTTGGGTGATGAAGTCGATTGGTTTTCTTTTTCCTGCATAAATGTACGTGTCCTGAAGACTCCAGGCGTGCAGTCCGGGATCCCCGCACTCACATGTCTGCCTGCGCCAACGCGTGGCGTGGCGCCCACGGGGACCCAGGCTCCCTCTCGGTCTCCTTCAGCCAGTGTAGCTCCATATGAGCCCCGAATGTCGGGGTGGCAGCTGGAACCCCGCCCTTTCCCAAGTCCAGTCTGAGCCTGTGGGCTGGCCAGCACGCGGTGCAGCTGCTAGACTAATTGGTGGTGGTGATACCGCCGCCCACAGGTAAGGTCCCTGTGACTGACCAGCAGATGCTTCGGTGGAATGGGAAGGCCACAGCACCGCGGAACCGGCCCCCGCCTCCCGCTCCCTCGGGGCTCCCATGCAGGAGGAAGGACCTGTCTTCGGTTGCTTAGATGGGGCTGTGACCTTCTGTCCCTGAGTGCAGTCGCCGCCTCCAGATACACATCAGGGTCAGGAGCCCTGGTTGTGTTACCCGCGTGCAGAAGGCAGCCCCGCACTCGGGAGCCGGCAGTTACTGCTCTGAGCCCTTGCCCTGCGCCCGTCCTTTCTGTGTCCGTGAGGCCCGGGCACAGTTACCATTACTCTGTGCTCGTATATTTCTGGCATCATGTGTGTTGATGGCAGCGTAACATTGTAACTGGCACATCCCGGGCCTTCGTGGTCAGGGATGCCACATGCCCTGGCGTCTGGTACCCCTTGGGGTTCTCCCGGTTCTCGGTGTGTGTGCCACCAGCCAGCATCTGGAGGGTAGTGTTCCTGCTATTTGACTGGGAAGGGTCACGCCCCCGCGCTCAGACTGTGCGCTCCCAGGAAAGCTGAGAGCCTGTGAGCGACTCCAGTTGGTTCTCAGAGGGGCCGGTCCTCGGTGCTGATGGCATTGGCGTGGGAGTGCATGTTGTCACACTTATGGCAAAGTGGCTTTTATTATTTTGCTCCTATTTCTGAGATTAAAAGGAAGATTCAAGAGGGAAATAATGAGGGCATGGAGGCCTGGGAGTGACAGGTCACCGGGAGGCTGACTGGGGCCTTGGGGATCACCCCAGTTGGGAGCCAGAGCCGGAACCGCACAGACCTTGGGCCTGTGTTGCCTATTTTGCCTAAGACCCATCTTTTCTCATTTCTTTGGGACGAGCTACACAGAGCAATGTGCCAGATGACACAGGGTGTGTGCAGAGCTGTGGCAAGGCCATCGTTCTCCAGGCAGTGTCGGGGCGCCCACCCCCAAAGAAGGAACTCCCTGTTTCCCACCAGAAGGGAGCGAGCGCGAGCTCAGTTCATGCAGCAAAATAGCTGGGTCCTTGCGTGTCGAGGAGCGTCCATCTCGAGGCTGTCCTAGGCCAGTCGTGCTCAGCTCACCTTGCTTCCTCTTATGGCTCTTGAAGCGTGAGGCGAGGACGGCTAGTTAGTAGGAGGCACTGCTGGAAGGCCTCCTCAGGAAGAGGGCCGGAGCCCCGCCCACGTGGCGGGCCCTCCTGCAGGAGGCAGGTCGCTCCTGCAGAGCCAGGGAGGAGCCCGAGCTCAGGCAGGAATCCTTGTTGGGCGACTCCAGAGCGTCTGGCTGGAAAGGACAGAGTGGAAGGACCTGGCCCCTGCGTCTCCTCTTCCAGGCTAACGTCATGACTTAACCACACCTTGCACGTCGGGCTTCCTTTCCTAATGCGCTGAGCTGCACGCTGCCTTCAGAGTAATCCTAAGCCTCCCACACCTTGTATTTAGGTTGTGAGGGTAGCTTTTCCCAGGGGAGCTGGGGTGGGGCCAGGATGGACCTCCAGGCAAACTCCGGGGAAAGGCTCCATCTCTGGGGAGACGCTTACTGCGCCCCGGCGGGCCCTGTGCTACTATTACTATTGTTGTCAGCACTCCATACTCACGCATGCTCGCCCGTTCCCGGCCCATTAACCCTGCTTCCTCTTCCTCCATAGCGGCAGGTAGCAGGGGAGGGTAGCTCATTCTCACACGTTTTCCCCACCCCAGAGGCTTCTTGGGCTGTTTGCCACCCAGCAAGGAGCTTCACCTGCTTTCTAGAAATCAGCAATGTCAGTGGAGTCATACCTGGGTCCAGCCTGCGAGGGCACTGCTTCACGCACCCCTCCTCGCGCTGCCCAGTGCAGGCAGGTGGGCTGACAGCCGCGTATTCAGACACAGCTGCCCAGCTCGTGCGCTCCAGGCGGGGGCGAACGTGGTGTGGACCAGCCCATGTTTTCCCCCGTGCGGTCCCCTGGATAACCCTGGACCCCAGAGGTGGAGAGAGAGGCCTTAGGCCTGGAGACTGCCCCAGACCCACTAGATGAGCGGACAAGAATGTGCGGCCCCTCCCCCAGCTGGGAGCTGCTATGGGGCCCGGCCTGGGGCACCTGCCCACTGTGACTCCGCTGCACGAGGGCCCCTGCACCTCTGTCTGCTCTGTTCTCCATGCTACTAACCAGACGTGGGAGGGGTCTGGGTGCAGTTTCGTTTGGGGGTTGCTTTGCATGTTGCTCTTCCTCTCGCTGTCAGTTGCGGGCGGAGCCTTTTCCTTTCTGTGATTCAGGTGCCTCATCCTTTCCTTTCCAGGTTCTTCCAGCTCTTTTAACATGTCAAACTCTGGAGATTTGTTCATGAGCGTGCAGTCACTCAATGGGGATTCTTACCAAGGGGCCCAGGTTGGAGCCAACGTGCAGTCACAGGTAGGGACCAGCCACTGTGCCGGCAGGGGGCACCTGGAGCCCAGAGCCCTCGGTCGTGTGGGCACTTCCTGGACGTGTTGGCACTTCCCGCTTCTGTCCAGAAAGAGGGACACGTAGAAACAAACCTTAGCAACAACCAAACCAAACCGAAACAGACAACCATTGTCGGGTGGAATCTCGTCCACACTTGGTGAATGCATTTGGCTCTGGCTTGTCAGTCACACTGGGAAGGCGGGGCAGGAGCGAGGGGACTCAGCGCTCTGTGCTCACTGCCCGGGACGGAGGGGCTGCTCGGGCATCGGCTCGCTCTCCGGGCTCCCTCTCACTCCGGGTTTCCACTCGGTATCTGCCCGACACGGAGGTGAGTCCTGGGAGGCAGGCGCTGCGCGTCTCCTGCTTCCACGTGAAGCTCGGGAGACCCCGCCGGCTGACCGAGCCCGTCGCCCAGCCTTCCTGCGGGTCCAGGGACCCGTTCTGGTGCCGAGTCCAAGTCCATGCTGGGAAGCGAAAGTGAAGCGTGTGGTGTAGCCCAGGGTCCTGGGCAGCTCACCCTCCCACCACTGATGGGCGATGGGCGGTGGGAGGCTCTGGGTCAGAACTGCCCAGACTTTACCAGCCATGCCCACCATGTCATCGGCACGTGGCCAGGAAGCACGATGTGCCCAGAATAGACCGCGGGCCGGCGCTTCAGCCCTCACTCAGGAAGTGCCTGGGTCATGTGTGAGGAGATACGGTCACACTTTGGCCAGGTCGCAGTGCTGGCCATCATGTGTCCCCAGACAGATGCGTGCCAGCCACACCTGCTCTCGGGCGGTGGCTGGCCGGGTGCCCTCTATGGGACACCAGCCGGGAAGAAGCTGCACGGAAATGTGGGGGGCAGTTCTCCCTCTCCCATGGTGCCCCCCGTCACCGCCTCATGCAGCTTCCTGGAAGCTCAGTGGGGCCCCCTTTCTGTTACCGTGTTCCTGCCACCGCATGGAGCTCGTGAGGAGACTGGGTTGGCTTAGAGAGGAGCCAGCCTCCTCCTCCTGGACCCCCAGAGGAGCGTCTCTGAGCGATGGCGCGGGCCTGGCGTGCCGAGCGGTAGTGCCCTGACTAACCTCCTCTCTCGTTCCTCCCGCAGGTGGATACCCTTCGCCATGTTATCAGCCAGACAGGAGGATACAGTGATGGACTGGCGGCCAGTCAGATGTACAGTCCCCAGGGCATCAGTGTAAGGACACAAGCCCCTCCGTTCTCTCCCTGCCAATTATTTCACAGCCACCGGGCTCACCGTGACACTTAGTGGGACTCAGCTGAGCTTAGTTTCTCGTGTCTGTATCGGTGACGCCGTCGGCAGCATTCTGCCCCCAAAACCAAGGCGCTGGGGTGGGGTCACGCAGGCCCCTGGCGTCCGGGGCTGCCAGACACAATCAGCATTGGCAGGCACCTGCGGCCACATGCCTCCTCTGCGGGGAGAGCTGAACAGGTGACCGACGACAGGGGTGGGAAGGGTGCCGAGGCCGGCCTGGGCACGGGAGCAGAGCTGGTAGCCGGTGTCCATCGCATCAGGTGTGTGGTCTGAAAGAGAACCCTGTCTCCGACCCGTTGGAGGCCGATTAAAAAGCCACCAACAGAGAGGCGGGGCTGGCGAGGCACGGGCAGTGCTGAGCCTCGTCCACTGGCCCTTGGGTCCCCACGGCTCCCGACCAGCATGAAAATCCGTAGCGACAAGCTGTGTCGCACAGAGTGAAATCGATCAGACAGACACAGGGAGAGCCGAGTGTAGATTTGGGACAGCAATCCAACTCGATTCCTCAGATCAGCCGTCCGCTCCCTCACAGCGGTGACAGCAAGCTGGGACAGCTGAGGGTCCTGGGCCTGGAGCGGGGGCCCTGCTGGTTGGGTGGGGATGGTCTCTGTTGTTTCATTGGGATGATTAGACTCAACTGGGGAGGGAAGGAAGGAAGGAAGGGAGGGAAAGAAGCATGACAGGTCATCCTTGCTGTACTGACTGGGGTGTCCCGTCTGCCACGGAGGTGACGGGCCCTCCGCTCCGTGGTGGCCAGTGGCGTGGACTGCGGACTAGGGAACCCCAGCTGCTCCGTCAGAGGAGGCCTGGGTGCGAGGGCGAGGAGTCAGCCCGGACAAGAGGAGAGCGGGAGCACGTGCTGGCTGGGACGTTCTGTCCTGAGAGTCTGGGCTCTCCACGAATGATCCACTAGAGCAGGGGTTCTCAACCTTCTTAATGCCGCAACCCTTTAATACAGTTCCTCACATTGGGGTGACCTCCAACCATAAAATTATTTTCGTTGCTACTTCATAACTGTAATGTTGCTACTGTTATGAATCGTAATGTAAATATCTGATATGCAGGATGTATTTTCATTGTGACAAATTGAACATAATTAAAGCATAGTGATTAATCACAAAAACAATATGTAATTATATATGTGTTTTCCGATGGTCTTAGGCGATCCCTGTGAAAGGGTCGTTCGACCCCCAAAGGGATTGTGACCCACAGGTTGAGAGCCGCTGCACTAGAGGGTCGGGGCCGCTGGGGGCAGCCCAGAGGCAGCAGCCACGCCAACAGGGGATGGGCCATCTCGGTCAGAGTTCAAAGCGGGCAGGGAGTCAGAGCTGACCCCTGTGGGCTCTGGGCAATCGAAGACCCTCGTCCTCTGGTGCTCACGCGAGTTGCTGTACGAACTGGTGAGTCGCCAATGCCCCCCTAGAAACCACCCATCCGTGGGGAGAAGTGTGGGCTCGGAAATGGGTTCCAGATGACCTAAGTACTGGGGTGTGGGAGGGGGGGCGCTCCAGGCCATATGCATTCACCCACTTCCTGACACAGAGTTTTCCAGAAAGAGCTTTGCTCTGTGTGATGGGGAGGAGAGTGTGGCGCCCTCACAAAGGAGCCGAGGCGTCTGCGTGCCGGGGCAGGAAACGGCGGGCAGCCGCGTTGGCATCTTTCCTAAGCGGGGAGCACGGGCTCGGACGTCACCCGGTGGGCTGGGCACCGTGTCTGGAGTGTCGTAACCGAACATGTGCAGACAATCACGTCTGATTGCACAAGCCGCGCAGACACGGCTTCAAAACGCAGCTTGAAGGAGCCTCGCGCTCGCTCCCTGTGACCTTGTTGATGTTGTTCCTGTTTAATGTGCGGCGGACGAATCAAAGGCTGGCCCGACAGGGCGCTCCCTCCGTGTCAGTTTTAAATTGTGCCACCTGCCGAGACCAAGCTTGTGAGGGTGAGATGACTTTTAGTGGTGGTATGAGCTGGGATGTGTACGTGTCCATGTGTGTGAGTGTGTCCTTGTGTGTGTGTGCATGTATTGTGTATGTGTGAGTGTGTCCCTGTGTGTGTGCCCTTTGTGTGTGTGTCCTTGTGTGTGTGTCCTTTGTGTGTGAGTATGTCCTCGTTTGTGTGCCCATTGTGTGTGTGTCCTTGTGTGCCTGTGTTGTGTGTGTATTGTGTGTGTATTGTGTGTGTCTGTGGTGTGTGTGTATACGTGTTGGGTGTGTCCTTGTGTGTGCGCATGCGTTGTGCATGTGTCCTTGTGTGTGTTCTTGTGTATGTGTCCTCATGTGTGTGTTTTGTGTGTTGTGTGAGTACCTGTGTTGTGTGTGTTGTGTGTCCTTGTGTGTGAGTGTGTGTCTTTGTGTGTGTTGTGTGTGTGAGTGTGTACACTGTGTGTGTGCACATGTTGTGTGTGTTCATGTGGTGGGTATGTGTGTGTGCACGCAGCATGGGGCTGTGGCTGCCAGGAGAAGGAAGGGAGACAGAGGGAGGGAGACCAGAAGAGACAGGACAGGAATGAAAGGTTCCAGCCAAGAAATGAAATAAACGCCCGCAGCCCAGCGGCGCTGGAGCCCAGCTGGGCCCTGGCCGTGTTTCATCCGAGCAGGACGTTTTCTGGGCAGCCTCCTCGCTCCCCTGGCGCTTCCGCAGCTCCCATGTGTTACAGCCAGCGTCCGTGTAAATCCGTGGAGCCACACCACCTGCCCTTAGTGAGGCTGAGGAGCAAGGGGGCCCAGGGCGGCTGGAGACCTCCGTCCGGAGTCAGGGGTCGGCCCGCATGTGTGTCCAGGGAGGCGTGGAGCCTCCTCTAGAAGATGGGTGGTGGTTCCACCCTGATGCCTCCAGGGCTGCCAGAGGGAAGAGACTGCGGGTGGGAGAGGCCCTGGCCGGGCATCCGGTTGCCTGGGGTGCCGTCGGCAGCGTTACAGGATAACGTGCTCACTGGCCTCTCTCCTCGTGGGCAAGGGTGTTCACAGCGGTGTTCCCCGCAAGGTGGTGATGGTGTCACTGGCTGTCCTGAGGGGGAGCTGTGCTTCCAGGGATAGAGCTACCCCAGGCCCCTCGTTAGCACGTGACGGGACCTGGCAGCTGGCCTGCTTTGTGCCCACGACAAGGCGCCCGAGCTGGGTGGGCATGGCGGGGAGTCACGGGCGAGCCTCCAGGCGCCTGCCGCTCACACCGCCCTCTCCATCCCGTCACCGCGAGGTTAGAAATGGAGCATTAGCCGGACGGCTGTGTATTTCCTAGTCCCTGTCCCGGCCTCTCGCTTCTTTCTCCTGCGGGTCCCTGACGCTGGCCTTCCCTGCCCGGGGCCCTGCGCCTCTCCATTGCCGCCTCCGTGCGTTCAGCCTGAGAGCCACCGCGGCCCCACCGGGCCCAGTGGCCTTGGGTGCCGGTCAGTGTGGCCAGCTCACCACGCAGGATTTCACGACCGGCGGCTCTTCACTCAGCTGTGAAGTATCTAGTAATGATTTTTATTTAAAATGTTTGCTAATCCACAATACTCTTTTTAATTTTAAAAGGTTCTTCAGTCTTGTTTTTTGTAAAAGGTTTCTAAGCTTTTTGGCCAATGCATGCTCTCGGGGAATCAGATTCAAATCTGCATTAACCGTGGGAAGGGGGTGGTGACGCTGTGAGGGCCTCCCTGAGCCTCCGGCTCCTCCTGTCCCAGAGCGCCGCCTGTGGGCTCCCACCGGTAGCCACTCGGCGGAGTTTCTGACGGGGTGGTCGCCGTCCTCTGCCAAGCCGGGGACTAGAACTGCCCCTGTGACAGGATCGCGTCAGTTGTGCCGCTCAAGTCGGTCCTGCCTTCTGCTCTATAAAGAAAACGTTCGCAACCACCAAAGGGCAGCTCGTTCCCGGGGTCGCTCCGTTCCTCTACACTCAGGAAACAGTAAGCGAATAGACTAGATTTAATGCGGGACCGTCAGCACTGATTTCCAAAGAGGCCTCTCGCCTCCTCAGAAGGAGGGCCTGGTTCTCCCGCCAGCTCAACTTTGGATGAAATAATGGGCCTCTTTCTTAGGAAAAGTCAAGCATAGTTTTTAAACTCTACTTATCTCTGGCTTTATTTGAACTGGGGGCGATTCTTTTCCACCTTCCTAAATATTAATATTTAGGTCTCTGCACACTGTCCATCTGAGAGGATAAGCAGAAGGCAGGACCGACCTGCATCTGGGACGAGTACCAGAGGAGGAAGGAAGTGAAGAGACACCTGCTCCCCTCCATGCTCCCTGAGCGCCTGGCTGCAGCACCTGGAACGTGGAGGCCTCAGCCCCACAAGCCCGAGGCAGCAGCCGGCAGGTGGGAGGTGCCTAGTGCAGGCCCTGCGCCTCCCCCAGGGAAGGACCACATCGCCCAGGAGTCAAGGTCATATTATTTTAAAAGCACCTGGGGAGTGGCCCTTGTACGAGGACTTATATCTGATCCTTGTCAACTGAAAATGCATGTGTTCACTACAAGCAGGCGCTGGCACTGCCTTTCCTCATAGACTTTGCAAATGGCGGCACCACAAGCCCCTTTCCCTGGCATGTGGGGTCTGAAGGTCCTGCCACAGGTGGGAACTGTGGTCACTGCTGTCCCACACGCGCCGTTCGCCACACGGGGCTGGTGGGCACCTGAGACGTGGCGAGTGTGGCCGAGACAATGAATTTTCATTTGTACCTAAAGTGAATGAGTTGACATACAAATTAGCTTCGTGGGGCTGGTGGCTGCTGTGTTGGGCAGAGCTGTTCCAGTGCCCTGACAGTCCTTTAGTGGCCACCAAAGGCAGAGCGATGGTGTCAGGGAGCTGGCCACCGTGTGGGAACAACGCCATCCTCACACAGAACACAGAAAACCGCTTTCTGCTTAAGTACGTGTTTCCTCATAGAAACCTAACTCTGTTAAAAATTAACTGTGTACAAGAGGTTAGCTCGGATTAGCATACAATG